AAAAATAGCCGATTTTAGCCGATTTTGCTATTTTTCTTCTTTTCTTAAGACTCAAATATATATGTTTCCATTTTTGACTAAGCAATAATCAGTTAAAGAACTTTTTACTTAGTTACCAATGTATATCGTCGCCTGAGTAAAAGATTGTCGTAAGCGCCATTTTGACGATTTCTAGTTCTAGATGCAGTTATATATTTTGAAATAAGGTCTTTCGATTGGTGGTATCAGTTTTTAGTATCTCCTTTAGTTTCCGAGATATTGACTACAAAGTTTTCGATAATTTAGCAAAAATTTAGTTAGTGATGAAGTCATATTAAACTAATCAATATCTTAAAAATGGCGTTCTCCATTTTTGGATATCTCCTTTAGTTTCCGAGATATTGAGTAAAAAGTGTCGTTAATTTGGTAGAAATTTTGATCACATTTTGTCGTATTTCATACAAAGGGGCTGACAAATTGTGAAATAACGCTTACGACAAAATGTGACTAAAGAAAATCCTTCATAAACTCAAAACTAATTAACAATGAACATTAAAAATGAAATAATTTAAGAATTTTGTGCACTAATAACATTTTCAGAGAATTTGGAGAAAATCTATCATCGCGGTTTTGAGAAACTGCATTCCAAACTTCAATTGCGATTTCCCACAACCTGCCGAAATTAACATACGACAATCTTTTACTCAGGCGGCGATATGTAGTTAGGTCCTCTATGTTTTCTCATCTTTTATGTAAGCTCTTGCTCATTTACGCTTTACTATTTCTTACCTTCTTTTCACTGTTGGCTAAACCTTAGAATTTAAGTTTAGTTTAAAATTAAAACTTGTAATTGAGTTGTAAAAATGTACAAAAAACACAATATCTTACCGTACTTTTGAGATAAATAAATATTCAAATATTCAAATGGCTACTTATCGCGGATAAAATTTTCATGACAGGCAGGGTTATATAAAATTGGGCCGATTTCGCTTATTTTGATTTTAAACGAATATATTTTTTCTAAACAAAGATGTAGCGGGTATTTTTTTCATAAGGTGTTTGTTGTGAATGTCTTCAATTTAAGTGTGAAGTTTTATTCGTTAATAACAAATTGTTTCACTGTTTTCTTAACACGCGTTTGTTTTGATATAGTGCCAACACATAGAATAAATATTACAGGTGTTGTCTTCCCAAATAGCGCATATGCAATTCTGTCTTAACTAAAAAACATCATTGTTGCCCACGCTTAAGTTTAAAGTAAGGGAAAAATGGATATTTTCAAGCACTATGTACACATATGTATTTTTTTAAAAAACTCTTTTTTTGCTGAGAGCTTATTTAAGTCCCTATTACGGTTTACAACTCCACTCAGTTGAATTGAAATTGAAACAACTCAACTTTAAAACAACTTAACTCTTTTTTTGGCATTACGAATTACAACTCACTTCAGTTGAAGTTGTATTGATGTTGCCAACCTAAAAAAGTGACGATTTGACAGATAATTAAACAGCTGATGATTTTGTGGCGAAAAATTAAAACACTAGGAGCGTTCCTTATCTCCCAGAAATAGTCAGAAAAAGTCCGAAGTAGTCAGATTTAGTCCAAAAAGCGTTCCTTAACTCGGAAATGACAGCAAAAATGAGAGAGCAACAGTCAGTGAGAGTGACTCTCATCAGTCCGAAGTAGTCAGATTTAGTCAGAAGAACTTTTTCTGGCAAAATCCTAAAAAGTGTCAAACTCAACTGAATTTAAATTAACGGAAATTAAAGAATACGCTAAAAGTGAGAATAATCTAAAAATTAAAAGAAATGAATTGAAATTGGAAAGAGGCAAAAAATAATTGATATAGCAAGTGTTTATTGTGCTTGTGCTTGTGTGAATGTGTTTTGTACATACATTTCTGTTTTTATTTGACGTTAGTTTTGTTGTTGCCATTCTTTGGACTAAAAATTTGGTTTTTTGCGTTCCTTTACTTTTCCTGTTATTCTCTTTTAGTGAGCGCATTTTGCTTACGCTCTGGCATTTTGACACTTTTCAGATTTTAGTCCAAAAAGATAAGGAATGAACCTAATATACTTTACTTAATGTTTACGAGTTTTTTTTTTCAAATAAAAAGTAAAATGGACATAAGCGTTGATTTATTTTACAATGATGAAAATGTTGGTCCCAAAACTGATGTGCTGCGCATACGAAAAAGGCTTCGTGATCACTCGAATCCTTTGGAACTTCCAAGCACCAAGTAAGAAAAATTGTAGCGACAATTGAATGGCATTTTAATAATGTTTTTTTGCAGATTCATAAGCTACTTTCGTTTAAATAAGGAAGCATTTGTCTTTTTGCTAAACGAGATGGAGGAACATTTCCAGAAACGTGTGCGAGGAACGGCTGTACCTCCCATATTGAAATTATGTGCAGCTCTCAGGTTCCTTGCTGACGGCAGTTATCAAAAGTGCAGTGGAAATGATTATTAGGAGGTTTTAAATATAATTGAGCAGCATATTTGTGGAAAATGGATTACAACCCAAATGACTGAAGAGGAGCAAAACGCGTCAAAAATTGCATTCTGTTCAAAAAGCGGATTCCCCGGAGTAGTGGGTTGTGTCGATGGGACTCACGTTCGCATCATTTCACCAAAAAAAGAAATGCAACATCTTTATCTAAACAGGAAAGGCTACTACAGTTTAAACGTCATGATTGTAAGTGAAAATGTAAAAAGCAAATACTTTAAAAGAAAATGGTCATGACATCTATTTCGATTTCAAGCTTTGCGATTACAAAATGGCTATCCGGTATGTGGATGCTAGGCACGCGGGCGCAAATCACGATTCCTTTGTTTTTAACGTAAGCGATTTGAAAGAGCATCTGCAAAGAAACATACAGAGTAATTCCTGGATTTTAGGGAAGACTGGTCATTAGTATTTAATACAAAAATAGATTGTTTAAAATATTCCTTAAATGTGACGCTGGTTACCCTCTACAAACTTTTTTAATGACTCCTTTCCGCATGGCAGAAGCTGGTTCACCACAAGCTCGTTACAATACAATACACTCTAAGGCTCGAAATATTGTAGAACGGACGATTGGAATATTGAAAAGCCGATTTCGTTGTCTTTTATCTGTGTGTGGCTTACATTATTCACCAGCAAAATCTACACAAATTGTGCACGCTTGCTGCGCTATGCATAATATTTGTCAACACTTTCGCGTGGAACTTTCTGAAGAAATTGCAACCGCTTTAAGTACGGAACTAAGCAATGAAAACCTAAACATTGAAACAGAAGACGAGGATGCCGCCAGAAGAATTCGCAATATTTTGTTATCCATTTAATAGAAATAAAAAACTCTAACTCACATTTAATTATTTATACTTCATTCAGTCTTCTTTTATTTTCAATGGTTAAATAACTTATATTTAATTTTCATTAAATATCACTTCATGTGCTCTTAAAATTAAGTTTTTCAAAATAGCTAATTTAAAGAAGTATCACTTCATGTGCTCTTAAAATTAGGTTTAGGTTTTGACCTGAGACTCGAAAAGAAACCAGAAAAAACGTTTTTCAAAATAGTCAGTTTAAAAAAAATATCACTTCATGTGGTCTTAAAATTAGGGATTGCAAAACTTATAATTAATAAAAAAAAATATTACTTGATGTTGTAAAATTAAATTAAAAAATATTTCAAATTATTAAATTAAAAGCCTTTCAATGTTTGTCAAATAAACATCAGTTCTCCATTCACGAACTGTTCTCGTCTTGCAAATAGCCTCTTAATTTAGCTATTTTTAATTGCTCAACCTCTACCTTCAACAAATGTAGTTCATGGGCTTCCCTAACCTGCCTTTCAAACAATTTATATTTTTGTTGCTTTATGTGCAGCAATTTTCTATTAATGTCGTAATTTTTGTACGCCGTCTTTTCCATTCTATCAATTTTTTTAGTACCTCTTTTTGCGTTTCTGCCTGCATTTTTAGGAGCTCTAGACGCTCAGTTTCTAAATTGCAGCTTCTGCGGCGATTTTGTACACGCGATGCTGACGAAGAGGGCCGATCTTCAATGTTTGCTACCTGGGGCTCATCAACCATGTACGAAACTGCAACTAAGCCGTCTTCTATTACTTCGCCATCCATCACCGGTGGTATATTCTCTACCCCGAATGCCCGGCCACTGGGTGCAACTTGTTCCCTTATCTGAATAAGTTCCGCAACACTTTCTTCTAGTGGATTTAAAGAAACCTCTTGCGACGGACCACCACCAGTTGCAAGAATATTGCTGCGATTGTTGGCAAGCTTCCTTTATAAATTTGCCTTATAGTGTATCCAAACCTACAGGAGAAATAAATTATTGGGCTTTCATTGTATTGGTCTAATTCCATGATTACTACTTACTCGTCCCCACTCGTGCGCAGTTCTTGTTGGTGGTCCTAAGCTGTTTAGCTCTATGGCAAAATGCTCCCACAATCCCTTGCTTTTACTTTTGATGCTTCCAAATTGCGGCTTGCCTCGTCCAGTTTCGGGATGCTTCTCCATCAGCTCAACTAGTTTTTCAAACTGTTGTTTCGTTGTAACATTATTTTTTCTACAAATTTGTAAGAAATTCCTGGTTAAGATATTGGTTTAAGACAAATAAAAAAAAATTAATTACCCGCTTTCCATTTTCGCTTAAAAATTTGTTCAAAACAACTGCTAGTAACGAGTTGTCGATTTTCGATACTTTTGTCAACCGAACTAGCACAGGGTGGTAAACGGTAATACCACAAAAAAGTTGTAATAGGCTGTTTTTGCTTACGCGTAAAAGCACATTTAGCGCATTTAGCTCTAAATGCTACTCTAAATGTACATTTATCCATACAAAATTCGTCACCTAAATGCAACTAAATGCAACTCCATTTTTGCATTAAAAATTTAAATGCTAAAAGCAACCCTGTGATCTTCCAAAATTTCCACGATTCGAACATGGTTTAAAGAGAAAAAGTGGCAACATTGCTTTTTCGAGTATACAGTTGCTAGCTGCGTTTCAGTGATCGCCGATCGAGATTTCTTTTATTTTGCATTACATATTTGGATAAAGAAAAGTTAAGCAAATTCAACATCGATTTGATGCTGATAGAAATCTGGATCAATTTGTGATCAACTCAGTTTGGTTTGTTTCCTAATTAAGTGAGGAAATTTTAATTGACAGCACCGACAGATGAATATATACACAAACAAATGTTCGGTTATGGTTAAAACAATTCAAGTTTTTGTATTGAATTTTTGGTGTAAAATTAATTTTTTCCTTTTCAGTAGGGTTTTTGCACATTATCTTCTGCGTGAGAATTGATCGTAAGATATACGCATCTAAATAAGAGACTGGAACACGGCTGTTTGTCAAAAGCATACGATTTCGAACTCGCGTAAATGTACATTTGCTAAATGCTATAGCATGAACGCTCTTCGAAAACATATGTTCGAAAGTGCTAAATGTTGCATTTTAAATGCAGCAAAAACGCTGCATAAGACATATAAATACAACCAAAAATTTTTTGACAGGTTGAGTTGTTATCGATAATACCAAATTGTAAGTTTTCAACTGAAATGGAGTTGAGTTGTAAACCGTAATAGGGACATTAAACTCCAAAAACCGAAGGTCAACTTGAATTTAAAGAACCAACACTGAAATGCGTCAATTGAAAATAAAAGAGCACAAATTTCTATGTAAAGCAAAACTTTTTGGGAAGACAATAGGTTTGTTCGTCGAAAATCCAACGAGAATTATCACTAAAAATATCAGATAGTAAGAAAAAATGCTCCTAAATTCTCTCACAAGTAGAGAAACTTGCAAATTCTGCACGAATGCAAATTTGCAGGAATTTGCAAGTTTCCCTGCCAGCTAGTGTCCACGGTTGCATTTCTGACATAAGAAATTTGTATAGAATTTTCTAAATTTTTTCAGAGGGACAAAACAAAGGATCTACATGTAAATTTCTTGCTAGTCCAACTTTCTTCAACATACGTTTAAATTTCTTTGTCGTAGTAATGTTCGGGTTTCCTAAATCGGCTTTGGTTGAGATTGTATTCTCATTACGATATAGTTTTTTTCCGCCGAGTACCTTTCAAATCATTGGAATTAATTAAATTAATTCAGTAAACAAGTATTTACTTACATTTTTCATTTAAAATCGCTCACGCTTGTACATTTTTAAATTTGACGAACTTGTTTATTCAAATTATCTTCGACGAAAAATCCAATCAAGTGCCACAACCATGTGTTTTTCCTAATTGAAAATTCTTGCTGGCAACATTTTTTCCAGCTTTAATTTGAAACTTTTATCCAAGAACTAGTCTTTCTACTTGTGATTTGTTTAAATAAAACACGTGAAATTTAGTTTTAACAGTTTAGCCGTTTTTAGCCGGTTTTTTTTGCCGATTTAGCCGGTTGGTCCAAAAAGTTCTGGCAACACTGTTCACGATTTGGTGCGGACGATACATGTGCGATAATTGTTGCATACCTTCAAGGGATGGCTTTTAAGAATGCTGGAAACGATGTGGAAAATGGAACTTATCGATAACAAAAAGTTGCGAATTCAGGAGCACCCAAAAATACAAACATACGATTTTTATAAAAACGCAAATCGCAAAAGTAAGTGGAAGTAGGAGCACGGCTGATTGGTTAGTTTAATATGGCTGCATCACTAACTAAATTTTTACTAAATTATCGAAAAAATTTTAGTCAATCAGCCCTATTCTGCATTTCGATTACGTTCCCGCATTCCGCTCCGCTGGAATCGAACTTAGGTATTCTGCGTTACAATCGAAACGAAAGAAGAAGAGGAAGAGAAAACATCTTTCGAAATCAGCTCTTTGCCTAGGAATGTGTGAAATCGAAACAAAGCAAAGAAATATTTGCCACCTAACTATAGCAACATATGAAGTTAAAGTTTGTAAATATTTTAAAATAACTAAATATACCTAGCATCACTGTAATTTAAAAATAAAATTTAAGTGGATACATAATTATAAGAATGAAATCCATAGCCGCTGCGTTAGTGCGGAGATTTAGGGACATGTTTGATCTTTTTCAGATGAGTGAAGAGTCATAAGGAATTCATCTTGAACTGTATTACTCATCGCTAAAAGTCAGTGAAATTATAAACGTTGTTTGAGCACTCCACAAAATTTGCACTTACTACAGTGGAAGATTTGAACGCAAATGAATCCCATTTTGTAAGCCGTCAGGAGGAGGGGAAGAACAAAGCTTATCTTTCCATAGCAAATCGAATTCAAGGCAACATACGCACCTCTTTTAGTAAAAACGAGTGCAATAATAAAAGCATCTTTTTTATGTAACTTCACATTTTATGTATGTATGTATCTATGTGCATACATCTATTAATCTAATATATAAAAATCTCGTGTCACGGTGTTAGTGGTCGAACTCCTCCGAAACGGCTGGACCGATCTTTATGAAATTTTTTGTGTATATTTGGTAGGTATGAGAATCGGATGTAAAGTATATTTCATATCGCTAGGTTCAGGGGGCGTGGCACCTCCCATACAAACCGAATATTTCATACTGCATATCTCTGAAAGTGTTCACGGTAGAGTACTCTTACTTGGTATGGAGATATATCAAACCAATGGCATACTCATGGAGAAAAATTGTGGTTATTGGAAAAAGGGGCGTGGCACCTCCCATACAAACCGATTTTTTCATACTACATATCTCTGGAAGTGTTCATGGTAGAGTACTCTAACTTGGCATGGAGATATATCAAACCAATCGCATACTCATGGAGAAAAATGGTGGTTATTGGAAAAGGGGGCGTGGCACCTCCCATACAAACCGATTTTTTTATACCGTATATCTCTGGAAGTGTTCATGGTAGAGTACTCTAACTTGGTATGGAGATATATCAAACCAATCGCATACTCATGGAGAAAAATTGTGGTTATTGGAAAAGAGGGCGTGGCGCCTCCCATTCAAACCGATTTTTTTATACTGCATATCTCTGGAAGTGTTCATGGTAGAGTACTCTAACTTGGTATGGAGATATATCAAACCAATGGCATACTCATGGAGAAAAATTGTGGTTATTGGAAAAAGGGGCGTGGCACCTCCCATACAAACCGATTTTTTCATACTATATATCTCTGGAATTGTTCATGGTAGAGTACTCTAACTTGGCATGGAGATATATCAAACCAATCGCATACTCATGGAGAAAAATTGTGGTTGTTGGAAAAGGGGGCGTGGCACCTTCCATACAAACCGAATTTATCATACTGCATATCTCTGGAAGTGTTCAGGTAGAGTACTCTAACTTGGTATGGAGATATATAAAACCAATCGCATACTCATGGAGAAAAATTGTGGTT